ATGATATTCTAATTTTATGACCAGCACCTGTATAATTCCACACGTGTTCATTCATAGTTTTGATGCTTTCAGAGTGAATCTACAGCTTTCATAGTCATGAAAATAAAGACATTTCTCTGAATGAGAAGGTGAGTCCAAACGTTTGTGCCCTTGATACTTAGAAGTTTCTGAAATCTGCCTTAATTGAAGTTTCACAGATCCCAAAGTTTAATTATTCTACCAATAGTTTAGACTAATCTAGTCCAGCTTTGATGTGTTCGGGTGTTTTTTAATCAGAGTAGATTAAAGATGCTGAAGGTGGGAAAAATGAAGTGGAGTCGCCCTTTAATCATTCCCCAAATCAAAAGCCAACTTCAGCTTCATATCAGAGATCAAATGTTTGGTCGTTTTAGTCCAGGAGGAAAAATAAAGGAGGAGATTGAAAAGTTTGTCGCCTTTTTGTCCGATATTTTTATTCTGTTTCTAAAAAGATGCTTTAATAGAGGCCGTTTAATTGGCTGATTAACATTTTGGAAGAAGCTTTATTATCCAACCAGTCCTGGAAAATAAACTTTATGTAACATTTTCCATTTGTTTCTATAATTCATATATTTGTTATTTAAATCAAAGATTTAAGTTGCTACATAAGAAGCTAATGGATGAAGTTCAGATCAGTAGACGTTTTTTATCCAGCGAGGCTCCCAGTAAAGTCCTGCCGTCTCCTCAGATGCCTCCTAAACCCCTGGAGCCTCTGGCCAGGCGGCTGATGAAGGGAGTGATCGTGGTGGAGCTGCTGGGAGTGTTGGGGGCGTACGCTCTGTTCCACAGGATGAACAACAGCCGAGGTAGGAGAACATTATTCAGCTTTGCTCAGAGGAAACATCTGCTGGAACATCTGTCCGTTTCACCCGCAGAGTTCAGGAGCACCATGAACGACAAGTTCCCTTCTGTCCTGGAAGGTAAGCATGGATCTGAGCGAGGTTCACGAACCGATCGGTCCGGAGCCGTGACCCCGATGCGTGGGGCCCCTAGAGCCAAACACCGTATTGGTGCAGAAAGTCATGTGACCGATCCGACCGACTCACTAAACTGGGTTTAAAAACGTTTCTGTCAACATGATGCATCTGCTAAAAAATGATCATTAAAATGATCCAGAATTTTGGAGCCTAAAAGGAAACGGAACCTTTCAGCCTTTTCATTTTTTATTTTAAAATAGTTTCATCCTTTTCCTCTGTTATCATTCAACTTATCTAAATTAAAGTTAATTTTAAATTAGTTTATTTACTCTTTGTACTGTTAAAATCCTAGTCCACAAGCATCCTTATTCACATTTTCACGTTATAAGTTTCCATTTACAATATTAAGATATTTTCAATGTAAACAAAGATATAAAATAGTAGAATATAACCTAAATAAACTTAAATTCTATCATTCTAGGTCATCAATTCAGTTTGGTCTGTCCAATCAGCTGCCTGTAGTGTCTTTAAATGTCCAGCAGGTGTCAGTATTCTGTGAGACAGAGTCGATCCAGTTTGGCTTCATGATGCCTCATCCTAGCCTGGTGAGACCATCCTGATCTCGCGAGCTTTCAAGGTTTCACTCGCTAATCAGTCTGGAGACTCTCCGTTAAAGAAAATTTGGAGCCGTTCACCAAACGAACGTCCAATCAGCGTTGGCTTTGAGGCGGGTTGAGGTGTGA